GTTTCCTAGGGCTGCCATAACAAATTACCACAAAGTTGGTGGCTTAAAGCCACAGAAATTTATTCTCTCACAGTTCAGGAGGCCAGAAGTCTGAAACCAAGGTGTCAGCAGGGTTGGTTCCTTCTGAGGGCTCTGAGGGAGTGTCTGTTCCATGTCTCTTCCCTAGTTTCTGGTGATTGCCAGCAATCATTGGAATTCCTTTGCTTGCAGATGCATTATTCCAATTTCTTCCTCCATCTTCATATTGTGCTCTCCATTTATCTCTGTCTTCACAAGGCCATCTTCTCCCTGTATGCTTCTCTCTCCTTTTCTTATAAAGGCACCCGTTATATTGGATTATGGGCCCACCCTATTACAGTTTGACTTCATCTTCAATCTAAGAATATCTACAACAACTTTATTTGCAAGTAAGTCCACATTCATAGTACTGGGATTAGGACTTCAACATATTTGTTGAGGGGACACAATCCAACCCATAATGGATGGTAATACTCTCCAAATTTACCTACAGATTCATTACAATCTTTTTCAAAATTTCAGCTGGATTTCCTCCAGAAATTAACAAACTGATCAAAAAGTAATATGAGAAAGGACTCAGAAGTCAAAACAATCTTGAAAAAGAACAAAGTTGGAAGACTTACATTTCCTGATTACACAGTTACTACAAAACTATGGTAACTGAGACAGTGTAGAACTGGCATGAGGACAGAAGCATACATCAATAGAATAGAACTAAGAGTTCAGAAATAAATCCATACATTTATGGTCAATTGTTTTTTGACAAAGGTTCCAAGATAGTCAATAGGAAAAGATTACTCTTTTCAACAAATGATGCTGGGACAAACAGATATTCACACACAAAATTTAACTAAAAATCAATCATGGACCTAAATGTAAGTGCTAACATAATAAAACACTTAGAAGAAAACATAGGAGTAAATCTTCATGATCTTAGGTTAAGCAATGGTTCCTTAGATATAAATTCCAAAGTATAAACGGCAAAAAAAGAGATAAATTGGACTTCTTTAAAATTAAAACTTCTGTGTGTCATAGAACACATTCAGGAAAGTAAAAAGGCAGCACACTACTGTGAGAAATATTTGCACACCATATATATGATGAGACTTGTATCAAGAATTTATAAAAATCTTACAACTCAATAACAAAAAGAGAATCAATGTGAAACTATCACAAGTTGAAAGAAAATTCAGTAAAGTAGCATACAAAAACAAACCAACAATAGCATTCACATATAAAACAATAATCAGTTAGAAGCTATCAATATCAGGAATGAAGGAGGGTCATTACTACAGGAATTGAGAGGGAATATTTACTAATAACTTTATGCCCATAAATTCAACAATTCAAATGAAAAGGATATTTTTCTTGAAGATGCAAAGCATCAAAACTCACTCAAGAAGAAATCTATAACCTGAGTACTCCTATATATTGTTACAGAAGTTGAATTCATAGTTAAAAACCCTTCAGAAAATAAAATTCCAGACCAAGTTGGTTTTACGGGCCATTCTATAGATGAATCTCAAATGTAGTATGCTAACTAGAAGAGGTCAGACTCTAAAGACTACATATATGATACTCTGGAAAAGGCAAAACTATGTGGGTGGAAAACTACATTAATTGTTTCAAGGGGCTGGAGGTAGGAGGGCTTGATTATATGGGGGCAGAGGAGACTGGGTAGGGCAGTGGAACTCTTCTATAGCTTGGCTGTCAAAACCTGCATGACTGGATCAATTTTATTGTGTGTAAGTTTTACCTTAACAGAAAAGATTTTATGGATGAATGGCAGGTCTATAAATAGTAATTGACCTAATAGAATTGGATGGGCCATAAAGAAAGCTGAAAACATCATGATCTATATATTACAGAATTCTCAAAAAGAAGCAGTATGTTTAGATCTGACTATGGGATGGAATGCTAACCCTAGGAGTATTGGAGGGGGCGGGGGGACTCTTTGAAAGCAATTACTATATAGCTAAGTCTTCTCCCCACTCCATACCTCTGGACCAATGTAGCTTACTATTGCAGAAATCTGGGGCTTTGGTTTCTGCAGAGAGTAAAAGAGGTAATCCACATTGGGGAGTCCCAGGAACAGTTTAGGGCCCTGGATGTCAACAATGGAAGGTTAGGAGATGATGAACATACTTAATGCAGAATGTTTAGACACAGGCACCTTCTACCTAAGCTGCCAGAACCCTGCAATAAGATCCTCACCATTCAAGAAAGAATTTGTTATTATCTGTGAAGCTAACAAGACCAAGAGAGATGATATAAAGATACTGATATCTGCAGCTTCCCATGACTCACCCAGTTCTCTCACTGAGAAGATCAAAGTAAGTAAGCCACATCAACAGCCCAGAGTTTCCAATCACTTCTTATTCTAGCAGTCTTATTTCAAGTTGAAGACAAAGAAATACCAGACATCTAAGAAGGGCCTCTAACATGAAAAATAAACACCAAGTCAATCAAGTTGAAAACTGCAATTTGTGGGAAACAAACTCAGCTAGGAGAGGGAAGATAAAGTTATGAAGTACTTCCAGTTCTTTAAGGTTTAAGACAGAAATGATGAATACATTCCATTTTATTTATGCCACTAATCACAACACCACAAGTCACTTACCAAAAGATTCTGTAAGGTGGACAAAAGGAGGTAGACTAGGGATCTCAGAACTGAAAGGAGAATCCAGTGGGGAGACCCTGGGGTGTTTCTTTCCCCTGTGTGGACTTGGGGAAAGAAACACACACCAGCCATAAGAAAAGCTAAGGGCCAGGAAAGGGTGGGACAACATGACAGAAACCTTCTTACCATATGCCTGCTCTGAGGGAAGCTGCACTCCTCTGTCCTCCAAAATTCACTGAAGAAGCTGGCTTCATTGATGGGAGGCTATTTTTCAAGCCCTTTCCCAGCAGTAAGGTGGCCCCTGTTGAGCATATGGGCCAAGATATCTCAACTCAGCATTATTGACATTTAAGGCTGGGAAATTCATTGTTTTTGGAAGGTGTCCTGTGCCTTATAGAATGTTTAGCAGCATCCCTTTCCAGAGACTTTATAAACTCAACTACTATTGGAATCACAGTCCACTAAAGTGAGCCAGATATGCATTCTGACTTGTCAGGTTGACTACCTGCTAAATTAGACTTAAGTGGGAACCAGAGCCTTAAAAATTTATACTCAAAATGCACAGGATACAGTCCGAAATTACTTGTTACATTGAGAACTAGGAAAATCTCAACTCCAATAAGAAAAGACAATCAATAGACATTAAGCTAACACATTGTTTGAATTATTGGACAAAGATTTTAAAGCAGCTATCATAAAAATTCTCCATTGAGCAATTATGAACATACTTGAAACATATTTAACATATTAAAGTGCAAGTAACCATAAAGGAAGAGAAATTATTGGCAATATATTACAGATGTTCCTCAATTTACAATGAGATTACATGTCAATAAACCCATCATAAGTTGAAAATATAAGTAAAAAATGCATTTAATACACATAACCTACCAAACATCATTCCTTAGACTAGCCTAACTAAAACATACTCAACATTTACATTAGCCTAGATTTGGGCAAAATCATCAAACACAAAGTCTATTTTATATTGAAGTGTTGAATACCTCATGTATTTATTGAATACTGTACTGAAAGTGAAAAACAAAATGTTGTATGGGTATCACTTTCACATGGCTGTAAAGTAAAAAAATCGTTAGGCCAAACCATTATAAGTCAGAGATCATCTGTAAAAGACAAGGGATTAATATCAAGAAATATAAAGATTTCCTAATACCACACATTCATAGCTTCCCCCATTGTAGACCTCAGTACCTTCTAATTAATTTTGCTGTGATTCTAAAACTTCTTTAAAAAAAGTAAAACCTATTTAAATATATGTATGGAGGAAAGGGATGGGGGGAGGTAGAAGAGGGTGAAAGGGAGATAAATAGTGACGGAAGGAGACTCGACTTGGGGTGGTAAACACACAATACAATATACAGATGTGTATTGTATAATTGTATAAATGCAACCTATATAATTTTATTAACCAATATCACCCCAATAAATTCAATTAAAAAATAAAATAAATCCTGGGGGAAATAATTTTATGGAAAAGGACCACATCCAAATAAAGGATTAAACTACAACAAATATATATCTCCCCCAAAATGGATACATACTTTGAATAATTATAAAGGCAGTGTTTATTAAAATACATTTTATTTTCAGAGTGTAACAGAATCATCTGTTAAAGTGTGTATACATCTTGGGGGTGGTACCCTGTATATATATGAAACACCTAGAGACTGGCAAACTACCTGTTTCTATATAACTAGTGAACTAAGAATGGTTTTTACATTTTTTTATGCCTGAGGGAAAACAAAAGAATATGTTGTGGGATGTAAACTTCACATGAAATTCAAATTTGTATTTGGAAATAACGTTTTCTTGGAACGCAGTGCTGTTCATTTGTGTACATACTGTCACGACAGCACGACTTCAGGGGCATAGTGTACCTGCCCCACCCTTTCTTCTCTGATAGTAATATAACTTGCTTTGTTCAATGTCACATTAGTAAATAGGTGAGGAATTTTGCTTGCACTTTTCCATAATACTGCGTCCTATGACCAAACCCGAACTTGCTGGCTGGATGTTGGGAGACACGGTATGAAGTTATCCCCATTGTATCAGCCAAGAACCAGCCACCTGACCCGGAGTGAGACCACTGGAAACCACCAACCACAGCTGACCTGGGTGTGAGGACACCAAGAGTCTATCACCCGGGAGGCAGGCTGCTGAGAGCTGCCTCCACGTGCAAGTGAGCGAGTGGTGACCTGCCAAGGCCCCAGGGGGTGTCCAGATAGCGGGCGGTGCCTGAGACACAGGGGTAAAACCACGTGTTTTAGGGCGCGAGGCGCTGGCGTTGGTGCTGTCAAGTGTCGCGTGCGCTGGCGCCATCACACATCGCGCGGCCGCAGCCATGGTGAGTCCAGCGGGCTCCAGCCACCGCACCCCGGGGGCCTTCAGCCTCATGGCCACCCCGCCCTCCTGCGGTGGTGCTGGGCCTGGAGCTTCGAGCAAAGCCTCGGGCCTCCTCCTGCTGCTGCTGCTCCTTCTGCCCCACAGGCACCGCGACAGCGAAGGGATCACCTTGAGCCAGGATGTGGGTAGGACCCCTCCCAGCGGGGTTGGGAGTGGTTCTGGAGGCGCATCCTCCCTCCCCTTCCCTTCCTGGTTGGAGAGCCCCTTCCCTTGCCTTACCTTCCCTCCTCACCCTCCCCTGTTCTCTCCTATCCTTCTCTCCACTTTCCTATTATCCCAGCCTCCCCTTCCCTCCCCCTCCCCCCGCCCCAACACACACACTTCTTGTGCACCGCCAGATCCTCCCTCCCTTTTGCTCATGGCCTGGCCTGCTTCTGCATAGCTGCTACTCACACGCTCTGTATCTCTCCACTCAGCCTGTGGCCAGCGTCACATGCAGGGGAAGGTCGTAGGGGGCGTGGACGCCCCTGAGGAGAAGTGGCCGTGGCAGGTCAGCGTGCACTATGGGGGCTTCCACATCTGCGGTGGGTCCATCCTCAATGAGTACTGGATCCTGACAGCAGCCCACTGCTTTAGCAAGTGAGTGGTGCTGGCCATTCCCGTGGAGGTCCAGGGACCTTGAGGCTGACCATCCAAGACTGGTCGAGCTGGGACTACATGGAATTGGAGAGAGAATGGGTTCAGCACACAGCTCCATCCTCTATAGCTTCTCCTGACACAGGGCTGAGGGGTCCTTAGGACCATCTGTTCTTTGAGATAGGTGCGGAGCCAAATCATAGGATGAGAGGTGAGGAGAGGAGACACACCATAGGACAGCTGAGACACATCACAGGAGAGAGTGGAGGGGCCACATCATAGTATGAAAGGAGAGAAGACACATCATAGGATGGGAGGAGAGGAGAGAGTCATAGGAGGAGAGGAAATACATCGCACAATAAGATGGGAGGAGAGGAGACTAAGAAGCTGAGAGGAGAGGGGACATGTCATAGGAGGGAAGAAGAGGCACATAGCAGGGTGAGAGCTGAGGAGAGACTTACTTATGGACAGGCCACTTTACACCTGACAAGCTCATCCTAGGCTGTTGGTGGCCAGCAGATCCTGATGGTTTCCCAGATTCTCCATGGGCCCAGGTCAAGACTTCTTTGGGGGTAATTCTTCCAAACAACCAAGTCCCCACTGTCCTGCAAGGGATTACTTTTCCACATCTTGGCTGAGATCCTGAATACCAAGCTTCCATGCTCCCAGGCCTCCCTATGTCGGTGAGCTAATGGTGGCTCCTCTCCCCAGGTTCAAGGTGCTTGAGCCACTGTGCCTTTGTTCTCTGTCCCACAGGGACAGGCGCACTGAGGCATTTGATATGTACGTGGGCCTTGTGGACCTCAAGCTCGCAGGCCATCATACCCAGTGGTTTGAGGTGAATAAGATTATTATGCATCATACATATGAAGTGTTCCACCCTATTGGAGGTGACGTCGCTCTGGTGCAGCTGAAAAGTCCAATTGTATTTTCTGACTCTGTACTCCCCATCTGCATTGCAACCCCAGACATGAACCTTGAGAACCTTACCTGCTGGGTTACAGGATGGGGACTCATCTCCCAAACAGGTAAGAGAACAAAATGCAGCATCAATCCCTTTTTTGGAGCTTGTGGAAGGATGGTGGCTCTATGGCACTAAGGAAAGAAAGTGTTGCAGGTATCTGAGGACTACAATCCCAACCTATTTCTCTGTCAGTGTGGAGTTTCGATTTATCCCTGGCTGGCTTTGTTGTATACAAAGAAATAGTTACTTCTACTTTGAGTGTGGACTTAATATTTAGTTTATCAAGACCAAAATTTTCAAAGTAAAGTTTCCTAAGATAGTAAATTTAAAGTAATCTTTTTAGCCTATTTAAAAAACCTACTAGTTATTCTCATTTTGTACCTAAAAGCCTTATATTTTCTTTGTAGGTTTGTACTCAGAATTTTTATGGCTAAGTAAAAGATGTTTTTAAATTGCATTTGCTAATCAGTCATAGTTTTGATTTTTGCGCATTGACCTTGTTTCTAGCCACCTCATGGAACTAATTTTTAATAGCTGGTCAATTGATTATTGGACTGTTCTATATATTCTTTTTCCTTTGAGATTTTTCAGTTTTCTTTATTTTTTAAAAAAATTGTTGAGAGTATTACAGATGTCCCCTTCCCCCCACCCCCTCATTGTCCCATCCACCCAGTTCCTGCCCTTGGCCCAGGCCTTTACCACCATATTGTCTGTGTCCATAAGTAATGCATATATGCATACAAGTTCTTTGGTTAATCACTCTCCCCTCCCTTCCCTCTGAGATTCATCAGTCTGTTCCATACCCCTGGTTCTATTTTATTCATCAGTTTATTTTGTTCATTAGATTCCTTGTTCATTTTTTAGATTCAATTGTTGATAAGTATGTATTTATTGACTTTTTATTGTTCATATTTTTTATCTTTTTTCTTTTGCTGCTGCTGCTTCTTTTTTTCTTCTTCTTCTTCTTACTAACTGCTTTTCTCCTGCTGCTTTTAAGATTTTTCTCTTTGTCTTTAACCTTTGTCATTTTAATTATGATGTGTCTTGGTGTGGGCCTCTTTGGGTTCCTCTTGTTTAGGTTCCTGGACTTGTAAGGCTATTTCTTTCACCAGTTAGGAGAAGATTACTGTCATTATTTCTTCAAATAGGTTTTCAATATCTTGCTCTTTCTCTTCTGGCACCCCCATAATGTGAATTTTGGTGTGCTTCATATTTTTTTATTCTTCTTTTTTTTTTTTTTTTTTGCTCTTCTGATTTGGGTGTTTTTTGCTTCCTCATATTTTAAATCATTGATTTGATTTTCAAAATCCTCTATTCTATTGTTGAATCCCTGTAAATTATTCTTTATTTCAGTTAGTGTATGCTTAATATCTGACTGGTCCTTTTTCACATCTCTTGAAATTCTCACTAAGATCCTTGAAATTCTCACTAAGTTCCTTGAAGCTCTCATTATTAAGATCCTTGAGCAACCTTATAACCATTGTTTTGAATTCTGTATCTAGTAGTTTGCTTGCTTTCATTTCATTTAGCTATTTTTCTGGAGATTTCTTCTGTTCTTTCATTTGTGACGTTTCTTTGTCCCCGCATTTTGGCTGCTTCCATGTGTTTGTTTCAATGTATTAGGTAGAGCTGCTGTGTCTCCTGGAATTGGTAAAGTAGCTTTGTGTAATAGGTGTCCTGTAGGGCCCAGTGGCTCAGTCTCCTCAGTAACCTGAGCTGGGCACTCTAGATGCACCCCTGTGTGGGATGTGTGCACAGTCTTGTTGTAGTTGAGCCTTGATTGCTGTTGGGTCACTGGGAGAAGTTGACCCTCCAGGCCAATTGGCTGTGAGGACCACCCCTATACAGAGGACACCCCTATGGAGCAGGACTTGCTTCAGTGGGGCTTTGGTGCTCACTGAGTCTTCCCCTTGAGTGTGTTTCTTGTGGATGTGAAGAGTTGTAATCTGGTATGGTCTGAATCTGTCCACCAGGTGCCCTGGCTCTGAGGCCTCCCAGGAGGTGCAAAGTCAGTCACTATCTGAGGCCACCCATCAGGAGCTACAAAGCAATCTGCATATGGCTGCTACTTGTGTTGGGCTTGGAAGTGCCCAGGTGAGGCCAAGATGTCTTGGGCCTCTTATTGATAGGTGTGGGGCATGCTCACACCAGCTTGTTTGAGAAATTTTAGAAAAGCCTGAAGCCTGATCCAGGACAGGCCATTCTAATGGAAAAGCCACAGAAAACAGCTTGGGTGGGGCTGCAAATTGGATGGGACGGGGCCTCAGGGAATAACCAGGGCTGAGTAGACAGTGTGAATCAGGCCGATGGAAACTCAGATATGGCTGCCGTCAGCTCTGTGATAGGGGAGGTCTCAGCATAGGAACAATCACCTCTGAAAGCACCTCTGTCTGGAAGAATGCAGCTCCTGAGTTCTTGCTCTGATGCCAGACAATCCAATTTCTCCCTTTATGTCCATAGATCCTAAGCCATTGCCCCAGTGCTAGAGCTCAGAGGGAGCAGGACCATGTAAGTTCATGTACTGGCCCTTTAAGAGGACTGCTTGGGATGTCAGCAGCCTCCGAATCACTGAGCCATAATCCCCACTGGTTTTCACAGCCTGAAGTTACAGGTGCTTCTCTTCCCAGCACTGGGACCCTAGGCTGAGGGGTGGTCTGGTGTGGCACTGGAACCCCTTACTCCTCATGGGAGGAGTCTAGATACCCCTCCCAATTAAAAGCATGCCACACATGGGTGTAGGACCAGCCCGTTCCATGCCTACAGCCCTCCTACCAGTCTTGGCATGCTTTCTTCTTTACTTTTCTAGTTGCAAGACTTCCATTCAGCCAGATTTCAGGTGGTTCTGAATGGTGGTCATTCTGTATTTTAGTTGTAATTTTGATGTGGTTGTGGGAGGCTATGAGTACTAGCGTTTACCTACACTGCCATCTTGGTTCTCTGTCCTATATTTTTTTTAAAGCATTTTTTTTTTTCAAATAAGATTGCTTCATCCCTACTTTTCCTATCTTTTGTCTTTTATTTTTTTCTTATTGCAGCAGCTGGAAACCAGTAAAAATGATGCTAGGTCTATTTTATTTTATTTTAATGGAAATGCTTGGTTTACTATTAAGTTTATGGTTTGGTCTGGAAATTTTATTTTATTTTTTATTTTATTTTTTTATTAAATCTTTATTGTTCAGATTATTACATTAGTTACTCTTTTTTCCCACCATAACTCCCCTCCACCCAGTTCCAACCCCACCCTCTGCCCTCACTCCCCACCCACTGTCCTCATCCATAGGTGCACGATTATTGTCTAATCTCTTCACTCACCCCCACACCCCTTTCTCCCCCACCCCCAAGAATAGTCAGTCCATTCCCTTTCTATGTCCCTGATTCTATTACAATCACCAGTTCATCAGATTATTTATTCACTTGATTTTTAGATTCACTTGTTGATAGATGTGTATTTGTTGTTCATAATTTGTATCTTTACCTTTTTCTTCTTCTTCCTCTTCTTACAGGATACCTTTCAGCATTTCATATAATACTGGTTTGGTGGTGATGAACTCCTTTAGCTTTTTCTTATCTGTGAAGCTCTTTATCTGGCCTTCACTTCTGAATGATAGCTTTGCTGGATAAAGTAGTCTTGGTTGTAGGTTCTTGGTATTCATCACTTTGAATATTTCTTGCCATTCCCTTCTGGCCTGCAAAGTTTCTGTTGAGAAATCAGCTGACAGTCGTATGGGTATTCCCTTGTAGGTAACTGAGTTTCTTTCTCTTGCTGCTTTTAAGATTCTCTCTTTGTCTTTTACTCTTGGCATTTTAATCATGATGTGTCTTGATGTGGTCCTCTTTGGATTCCTTTTGTTTGGGGTTCTCTGCGCTTCCTGGACTTGGAAGTCTATTCCTTTCACTAGGTAGGGGAAGTTTTCTGCCATTATTTCTTCAAATAGTTTTTCAATATCTTGCTCTCTCTCATCTTCTGGCACCCCTATAATTCGGATGTTGGTACGCTTGAAGCTGTCCCAGAGGCTCCTTACACTATCTTCATATTTTTGGATTCTTTTTTCATTTTGCTTTTCCGGTTGGGTGTTTTTTGCTTCTTCGTATTTCAAATCTTTGACTTGATCCTTGTGACCCTCTGGTCTGCTGTTGGGAGTCTGTATAATATTCTTTATTTCAGTCAGTGTATGCTTAATTTCTAGTTGGTCCTTTATCACAACATCGAGGGTCTCATTAGATTTCTTGTGGATCTCACTACATTTATCGGCAGTCTTACCAGTCTTTTCGAGGATCTCACTACATTTATTTGCGGTCCCACCAGTCTTTTCGAGGGCCTTACTCAATTTATCAGCGGCTTCTAGACAGTTCTTTAAAGACCTTAAAAGTGTGGTTTTGAACTCTATATCCAACAGTTTGCTTTCCTCCAATTCTGTCATTTGTGTCCTGTTTCTTTGTCTCGGCATTTTTTATGCTTCGCTGTGTCAATAGAGTGCCCTTCTGTGCTAAGTGTCCCAATTACCTGAGGTAGACACTCTTGGTGCACCCCCTTGTGGGCTTTGTGCACAGTCTTGTTGTAGTTAAGCATTGATTGTTGTAGTTATCACTGTGAGGAATTGACCTCCAGGCCAATTGGCTGTGAGAATCAGCTGTGTCTGCGGTGGGAGAACTTCTGTGCTGGAGACACCCCTCTGGGGCTAGACTTGCTTCGATGGGGCTTTGGTGCTCACTGAGTCTGCCCCCTGAGTGTGTCTTTTATGGTTCCACGGAGCTGCAAACTGGATGGTCCCACTCTGACCTCTGGGCTTCCTGGCTCCTGGATCTCTAGGGAGGTGCTAATCTAGCCTTTGCCTGAGGCTATCCAGCAAAAGCCTCCCTGCAGGGCTTGGGCAGAGCAGGTCCCACGGGATCAACAGGGTGGGGTTAGCAATTATGGCTGCTCTCAGTCTTGCCCTCAGAGACTCTGCTTCTCAGTGTCCCAGTAGTCGCTGCAGGCCCCACGGAGAGAAAGCTGCCCTAGGGTTCTGAGCGATGCCAGACTGTCCCACTTCTCCCGTATGAGTGTGTGTCCTTAGAGACTCG